TTTATATTTAATTTTTTTATATATAATTTTTCCACTTTTGTATTTAAAGTAAAAATGCAAACGTGAAAATAGCATAAAAGATAATAAAAAAACGAATTTTACACTTTTTTTATGTCCTGTCATATAGTGTAAGTAATACGAATGAACTTTGTATCTGTCATGTTTTTGTTAAAGTTGAAACATCTATTATTTATATGCAATTTATTTAACTTTTGCTTCAATCGTACATCTCGATTATGTATATCGGATGTATGACAATGTGTAACGTGCGATTTAAAACTTCATTCTCTCTCGTGATGTAGTATAAAAACTCTTGCATAAGATTAGACTAACTATAAATCATGCCTCCCGAAATTCTACATGATTTATGGACAATTTTAGCGTATTTTTCTTTCACAATGCCTTCCCTCTCTTCTTTCCTTCTATTTCATAAGCCCGACACGAGATGTATTCCGCGCAATTCCACGCGAAATGAGATATTACCTTTAATACGGGCGGGGCACTGTAAACAGCTTGAACTTGAGATTGTCGAGATAAATCTGCAACCAGTGCGCGAGCTTTTTATCGCGCAATTTTTTAACGGTATGAAAAATAAATTTTATGCATTATACAAATTACGTTATTGCTTCTACAGATATTGTTACGAAATAATTAAAAGTATCGATCAAAGAAAATTAAGAGCGCTATTTAACTATTTTTTTTTTATGATTTAATTTTGACACAACTGGCTCGACTTTGAATTTGCATATTTAAATTGAAGATACGTCGCCTCACAATAATATAACGGAAAATGCAAAAATTAAAAGAGAGGATAAAATTTTTTTCTCAAAATTTAATTCTCACAGATACTACAAAAAAATGTAAATTAAGAATAATTCAAAAATCTGTTGACTTTGGTCGAAAATAGCAGACAAATTCAAGAAAATAGTAATTACTGTAGAGTCTTTAAATTGAGATATACTCTATATAAGATTAGAGATAACCAAATAAACTATAAAGCTCTATAAAAAGTTCTCAAAACATATTTCTAACATTTTCCAATATATTCTCTCGGTATTGTTATTATCAAAGAAAAAAATCAACAATTGGAGACAATAACAGCCCGAGCTCGCGCTTGAAGATACTTTCGGAATAAAACTCGTTCTTGATATAACTCTCTAGAATCAAACGAGATATTCAACGGGCCAGCGGCTGTCGGAAGCGTTGCTTTGAAAACAATACAAATGCAGTATTAAAAAGTTTGTCGGTTCGGCGCGGTGCGAAATTTTATTAGGGATATCAAAGATGTCGCCCGCCATGAATGCGAATTGCAAAGCGGGATAAGGATCGAATCTATTCACACGCATACGCACGCACACACTTACCGGCGCAACTGTATCCATTTTTATGAAGTATATAGCCGTCCTTACAGTCGCACTCGTACATGCCGTCGTGAAGCTCATAGCAGAGCTGCTCGCACGGCGATCCGTGCCCGCATCTTCCTGAAACACGACAGAGAAACGGGGACGTTAGTAAAGTCGGTGTTGTAAAGTTATGCGTGTCGGGGGAGTTCGAAGTGGCGGACAAAGGGAGAACATTGGAATTGGCGATGGCGGCGAATTGCAAACGCAACTGTTCATGCGTTCTTCGTTCCTCCATTCCTCTAAATAGCGTATTTACATTAAGCGATATTTAATATAGTCAACTTGTATAACAATTCTAGCATATATGTAGATTTGCATTTTATTGCACATTTTCACCTATACATGTATAAAATATTATCATTTAATCTCCAGGTACGTGATTCCTATTTATTGTTTCCTTTTTGATATTAATTCTATAATCACGTATAAATATAATCCTGTGATCTAAATACACGTTAAAAATTTTACAAATTTTAGGCTTTTTGCGCTCGCGTGACATTCAATTAGCTGAAAAATGTTCTTATTAATATTGTTTTAATATAAAGCATAAAGAGGAATTACACAAAATTAATTGCAATACAAAATATGTACTGCAACACACGTGTGATTAAATGCCATCGAGTCAACCACAGTGTTTCTTCCGCAGTAATTTCATTTTACTACGTGTTTGATTTAACGTCACGCATTTACAAAAATATGTTATAGAAAATTAAATCATGACGTATGTGCAACATATAATGCACGGGATGACAGCGCGATAATTAAATTTTTATTGTGTTGAATGACATGAAGGATTAAATCGATGTCTTGCATGTGACGTGTGGGTTTTCTTGAAACATGTAATATTCATTATAGACGAAATTGTGCGCTACATACGTGAAGGGTGAGAAGTCGAAATTGACTTAAATCTAAATAACTTATTCGCTGCAACAGTGTGGGAGCGGAAAGGAGGGTGAACGATCTAATCGTTACTTTATGATTTTGTCTGTATTTAAAGCATTCATAAATCTGTAAGATGTTACATGCGGCTTTTGAAACACAATTGAAAAATATATATATCTGCATTATTTTTTTGTTACTCTAAAAATATAATTATCTTCGTTTAAAATTGCTTAGACAATATAATAAAAATCCACCACCACCACCACCACCACTACCACCACCGCCTTCGATCGGCCGCCGCCATTTTTTTGCCCGAGCCATCGCGTGCGTTACTAACCCCCTCGAAAACATTCCGCCTTGAAATGCGTGCTTTCCGATCGAGAGGTGCGCGAGAGAACGCCCAGGGATGTAACGCCGGGGGTGCGAAATTGTACGCAAACAGCCGAGCCAGGAGTATGTCGCGTTTACCGCGCACCCCGTACGATATCTTCGCATTCGCGGAAATGTTAAAGAAAGGGGATCGCAAGTTATCTGATACGCATTCAAGAGATTATAAATTTTATATCAAACTATGTATTGTGAAGATTAAGGCAGAGCGTTTTGGAAATTGGAATTTGATCGATCAAAGTTAAAAGATGAAAGATAGATTGGAATTCAGGGCTTAAAGAATATCTTTCTAGTTTACAGTCGCTATATATTATTCAATGATCCGCCATTTCTCAATTATATAAGATGTTCCAGGTCAGGTCAATGAAACTTCAGGGTCTTATAGGAAATTGAATTTGAAATTTTTTTTAAAATGCAAAAATTAAAAGAGAGGATAAAATTTTTTTCTCAAAATTTAATTCTCACAGATACTACAAAAAAATGTAAATTAAGAATAATTCAAAAATCTGTTGACTTTGGTCGAAAATAGCAGACAAATTCAAGAAAATAGTAATTACTGTAGAGTCTTTAAATTGAGATATACTCTATATAAAATTAGAGATAACCAAATAAACTATAAAGCTCTATAAAAAGTTCTCAAAACATATTTCTAACATTTTCCAATATATTCTCTCGGTATTGTTATTATCAAAGAAAAAAATCAACAATTGGAGACAATAACAGCCCGAGCTCGCGCTTGAAGATACTTTCGGAATAAAACTCGTTCTTGATATAACTCTCTAGAATCAAACGAGATATTCAACGGGCCAGCGGCTGTCGGAAGCGTTGCTTTGAAAACAATACAAATGCAGTATTAAAAAGTTTGTCGGTTCGGCGCGGTGCGAAATTTTATTAGGGATATCAAAGATGTCGCCCGCCATGAATGCGAATTGCAAAGCGGGATAAGGATCGAATCTATTCACACGCATACGCACGCACACACTTACCGGCGCAACTGTATCCATTTTTATGAAGTATATAGCCGTCCTTACAGTCGCACTCGTACATGCCGTCGTGAAGCTCATAGCAGAGCTGCTCGCACGGCGATCCGTGCCCGCATCTTCCTGAAACACGACAGAGAAACGGGGACGTTAGTAAAGTCGGTGTTGTAAAGTTATGCGTGTCGGGGGAGTTCGAAGTGGCGGACAAAGGGAGAACATTGGAATTGGCGATGGCGGCGAATTGCAAACGCAACTGTTCATGCGTTCTTCGTTCCTCCATTCCTCTAAATAGCGTATTTACATTAAGCGATATTTAATATAGTCAACTTGTATAACAATTCTAGCATATATGTAGATTTGCATTTTATTGCACATTTTCACCTATACATGTATAAAATATTATCATTTAATCTCCAGGTACGTGATTCCTATTTATTGTTTCCTTTTTGATATTAATTCTATAATCACGTATAAATATAATCCTGTGATCTAAATACACGTTAAAAATTTTACAAATTTTAGGCTTTTTGCGCTCGCGTGACATTCAATTAGCTGAAAAATGTTCTTATTAATATTGTTTTAATATAAAGCATAAAGAGGAATTACACAAAATTAATTGCAATACAAAATATGTACTGCAACACACGTGTGATTAAATGCCATCGAGTCAACCACAGTGTTTCTTCCGCAGTAATTTCATTTTACTACGTGTTTGATTTAACGTCACGCATTTACAAAAATATGTTATAGAAAATTAAATCATGACGTATGTGCAACATATAATGCACGGGATGACAGCGCGATAATTAAATTTTTATTGTGTTGAATGACATGAAGGATTAAATCGATGTCTTGCATGTGACGTGTGGGTTTTCTTGAAACATGTAATATTCATTATAGACGAAATTGTGCGCTACATACGTGAAGGGTGAGAAGTCGAAATTGACTTAAATCTAAATAACTTATTCGCTGCAACAGTGTGGGAGCGGAAAGGAGGGTGAACGATCTAATCGTTACTTTATGATTTTGTCTGTATTTAAAGCATTCATAAATCTGTAAGATGTTACATGCGGCTTTTGAAACACAATTGAAAAATATATATATCTGCATTATTTTTTTGTTACTCTAAAAATATAATTATCTTCGTTTAAAATTGCTTAGACAATATAATAAAAATGGTTAGACAATATAATAAAAAATTCTCACAAAATATGTTTTATATCTCATAAATGTATTCACGAATAATGTTTCAAACTGCTACAAATTGTGATGTATAGTTGTGAAAAGAATTAAAATGAGTGAATAATAATTCGACGCTTTTTAGCATATGTAATATTAGGATGCATATATAATATTATGCATATATGTGATATTAGAATTAAATATTAATAATAATAGCATATTTTTTCGAAGACGTGAAACGCGGAGAAAATAGCGACATATTAAAAAATGATTTACGAAACACGATGGGATGGAGATAGAGGGAGCAAATAAAAAGATCCAATGAAAAGTGCATTACATCGAATGTAGTAAAATTTCATGGCGCTTTTATTTTTAGTTTGTCTTTCAGCTCAGGCATCGTGAATGGCATCATAAATAAATTTGTATGCGGACTTTTCAATTTGCACATATACATATATAATGCGCATATTTCGTACTTAATTTTAGTTTAACGCAAGTGCTTGCTAAGTGGACTTTATATGAAATGGCCAATGATATGCGCAGTTAAAATATTTTTGTTACGGCTCTGTTTATGTGGAAGCGCTTTAATAAACGAAATTTTAATTTCGAACATAAATTTTTTGACGGGGATTTTTTAAGCTTTTTTTAGTCGATCTTTTTATCGTCTAATATGTAAACAAAAAGTTACGTGCTCTCTTCCTTTCATAAAAATATGCATTTACTAGCTTTTTTCTCTCTCTTCTCTTGCAATTTGAATAATAAATCAAAATTACTTATTTATGTGAAACTAATGAAAATATAATTTAATAATATTAATAGCAATTGTTTTATAGCAAAAATTTTTCTTAAATGAAGTAATTTTCTTTTCTGTAATATAAAGCATAGTATTTTATACATAAGCTTTTAATATTTTGAAGAAGTTTATAAAACAGAGTAAATATTTTATATTGATCTTTTATTCAAAGCTACGAAAACAGTCTTGAATTTTTTGAATAACTCTTTATATATATATTTATATCATGTTAATTATGAAGCTCTAAATGTACAGCAAACAGAAGCATATATTTATCATATGCTTCTATATTAGTGCTACATTCTCTCTAGCTTATATAATATAATATATATATATATATATATATATATATATATATATATATATAAATATAATAATAAAGTTAATCCTTCTCACATTATAATACATTTAACTTTAATATTACGGTATAATTATATACAAAATTTCTTATTTACATAATGCATAAATTATATACATAATCTTCTCGTCAATGTTTCCAAATCAAATATAGTAGGTACACAACTATACGTGCTATACTACACCTATGTGAACTTAACGCCCTACTTTCAATAAATTAAGTTTTCACTACAGAAAATGATAAATATATGATAATTTCGATTGGTAAATACAATTTTGTTCATAAACATAAAAAATACAACATTTTGTAGAAATGATTACCACGTAATTCTAAAATTAAAAAAATCGCTAATGTATCGTGAATTATTTATAATTGTTTATAATGCTTTTACTTTTGTTTGTAGTTGCACATTGTAAAAATGGAAGTACAAAGTTCATATAGACGTACACAACGTTTCGCGTTTTACGTTTCATAGTAGAAAATCACGCATAAAAAAAAGAGGGATTGACGGACGCAAAATTAGACATTTCATCTGCATAGAGAACAGATTAATAAAACATAACGCGGGCAAGAATAACACTGGAAGAAGTGGAATTCGTTGTTGAATGCGCAACGACGCATGCATGACAAACTTGCATCGCGCTGCATCCCGCGATGAATCATGCGGCTCGTTGCATCTCGATGCATCATGTCGTTCCACCCCCTATGGCGCAGGACAACCATTGAAAATTCCAATATCCGGCTCGGTCGTGTGTACTCTTTACGAAAAACTGGACGCGTGGGAAAAACCGACATTATTTTCATATACTGCTGGGAAATATATATATATATATATATCTTACAATATATGTCTATATCGTATTGCACTTTATTTGTCGATGCGTCGGGCACGTAATAAAATCGCTATTGCGCGATATTTCGTAGAACGCGACGAAATTTTATCTCGTTGATTGTTTAAATACTTGTGCATCACATATAACTGTTAATTAAAGAGTACAAAAAATTTTACTTTTATTAATTAATATTGTTATGTACAATCTGTTGTTTATTTTTTTTTTTATAATGTAATCAAATCTCTTGTTCTGTCCCGAACATGTATAATATTTGCCTTGTGTACAACATGGATGACTCACTCAAGTGGTATATTTGTATTGCCAGTTATTTTTTTAATGTAGTATATTTTATCGAACAGTCTCTTTCTGTTTCGAAATTCCATTATATAACATTTACCTTTTGACAGCATAGATGACTCACTCTTGTTCTGCATATTATTATTGGTACATTTTTGATATAATATATTCCATATACTTTGTAATTGCGCTGAAGATGGCTGAAGATCCAAAAAAAGGACCGAAATGTACGCTTTTTGTTATTGTCTTTTGTGATCACTTAGTTAAAATATCAATGTAATTTGATTGTAATAAAACATATGCGCACAAATTACCGCGCTGGCTTTGATTGCCTCTCCTTCGTATGATATATTCATAAGAGTTTTTATTAGTTTATTCTTTTGATCTAATTAAATCTCTTGATTTAAAATATTTATTTATGCACGTATCACCGCTCATCATTTTTTTAAATTTCATTTTTTTGTTAATTTTAATTAATTATTGTTTTTTACGCGATATTCTCTTGGGAGAAATTAGATTTTAAGAATGACTGGCATATATTTTTGTAGTTGAGAGAAAGGTAACGAGTTTAAAGAGATTGATATCTGGTTATCTGGATTTATCGCGCAACCGGATAATTACACAAAATACTCTCAAGTTTTTATTACCCGGATTTTCACATGAAACACAGAATCTAAAGCATCACGTAATGTGTAAATAAAACATATATAAATAATGTTGAAATATGAAAGAAACGGATGGAGAGAAATCGTGTTGCTCACAAAATTAAATGACGGATGGCTAATGACATATACACGGATAAATACATGCGCATAAAAAGAATAAAATGAACATTTTATATTTTATTGCAGTTGCTATATAGACATCATTTCGCATATATATCTTGTGCAATTGTATTTTAATAATTGATTTTTTCACGCAATTTTCATATCTGTAAAACTAACATTTCGTTAAAATAACGTTTTTGTTCGATGTAAATGAGGGAATTATTTTTTTATCCGTTTGCGCATAAAAATCATTAAATCGAATTTTATTCTTTACTCAAAAAATAATCGGGATAAAATAAAATACCTGATTGAAAAATCAGGTTTAAGTGCTTTCTAAAATAGAATTCCTCCGTTAGTGTTTGTGCCTTTTGTGAGCCATGTCGTACGAAGGTGCGGGTGAATGGACTGCTCGTATGGTACATGTGCACCCAAGCTGATATATGCAGGCTGTGATTCTACTGCGCGCCGCACATATACAAGCCGCGCGAATTGTGTTGTGTATAGCCCTAACATAAGTACAATGTAGCTCCTAGTTTGATTCGAGAGGCGACGCGGTTACATTGCCTACAATGCCGCAAGACATATGTATAAACGTCCGTATGCCGCTGCTAACAGTCATGCATAGATAATATAATCGCTAACGTATGCCAAGTATGATAGATATCATAGATGCCTGTATTGAACGGCACTTGTCGAAAGAACGCATCAAGTCCGAATATTTGCAAATCAAGAAGAGAGAGCGATCTCTTTCGTTTAAAATATTACTTTTTGCAAATATTATTTTCATCATATTTTTCATTTTATTCGCATTTATTGGTTCATTTTATTTTATTCGCATTTATCGGCCGATTTTTTAAATCGGATATCATGTAAACATATATTAGCCACGTAAC